ATATATATATATATATATATATATATATATATATAAATGTGATATTAAAAGTCTGAGGTGCGCCATGAAATTAATTAGCTAATTAATTAATCAAATAAACTTATTTAAATGATGCAATTATGACACTATTTAATTATCTTATCTCACGGTTATACTCGTGCTTCAATATCTATGCTTTACATATAATAGGTAAGGTCCAAAGAATACCGGAATAATAAAAAACATATATGATATAACATTATATATTGAAATAAAATTCACACTCAAATATCTTCAATAAAAAATATCTTATATAATGATTATCAAAATTTTGTTCTACGTACGTAAACCTTCAAAACTTAATAGTATGTACAGTATTAATTAAAATTTCAAATCAAAATTGTTGTTCTAAATCTTCTGATCAAAATATTCCTATCTTTTCTAAAGCAATTATTAAAATTGTGTTGTTAATAAAGAAAAACTGACGAATAGTAAAACTATCTATCTGATGATGATTTGTCCAAATCCTTGTTCCTTGTAGCCTACACTATCTATTCTTAGCAGTAACCTAGGTAATCAGCAATCTTACAAAAAATTGTTGCGAGCCTATGGTCTTTAATGAGCTCAAAATCCACAAGGAAAAAAATTTCTGTAGCTGGCTGTATACCACGTATCACAAAAAAGAGGTTAGTCTTTGTAAAGACTAACTAAATAAATAAATATTAAATAAATATACCCATTTACAGAGACTAACCTCTTTATTTTTTTTAATGATCTCCTTCAAATGCACGTATCGTTCAAATGATGCTAGCCTCTTCTCCTCTTGATAAACTGAATCTCTCGTTCTGGCCTGAACAGTGACTCTTGGAATATAAGTAGAAAAATATAACTTACAATATTTTACTGGATCAGCTTCTGTCAGATACACATACTCCACGAAAACTCACAAATATTCACTTCTACGGCCTACTACCTCTGGGAACCACCAGAGAACAACGACTGTTCACCTTGCACCCTTGGAAAACAACTGATTATCTTTTCTCCCTCAAAAATCTAGCTAAACTCTCATTCCTACATACCTATCCCACTTTTTTCAATCTCCTCCAATCAAAGCTCATCACACTTATCCCCATCTACCATTTAGATAACAAACAACAATTTTACCTACAATTATAAATTTCCTAAAAACTATTAACATGCTAATCGGTTTCTACAAATTCTTAAGAACTAACGAAGAAATATATTTTCTATATAAGTATATATATATATATATTATATATATATATATATATATAAATATATATATATATATATATATATATATATATATATATATATAAATATATATATATATATATATATATATATATATATATTATATATATATATATATATATATATATATATATATGTCTTCACATTCACATGGAATTTTTTCTCACAAATGTAGGAAACTTTTTAGTATAAGAGAAAAACTACCGGCAAATTTTATGAAAGAAAAGTGCAACAGTTTGTCTCTCTGACATAAATTGACGCCAAGATATCAAATGATCGAATTTTTAAAAAATCCAACGGTAATATGCTGGAGTGTTTTTTTTTTTGTTTTATTTTCTGTTGATTTTTTGACACATTATTTCATTCTACGGCGGTACGAAAGTTCGCCGAGTCTGCCAGTTGATTTTATATTTACAATTGTTTTAAATAAATGTCTTAAAATAGTAAATGAGTTATATCTTAGTTGAATAACTATATATATATATATATATATATATATATATATATATATATATATATATATATATATATATAGATCATAACATATATATATATATATATATATATATATATATATATATATATATATATATATATATATATATATATATCCTAACATAAACTAAACGTGACAAAGTTAGCTCTGTGGTCTAGACCATATAGTAGATTTTAAGAAATAGTAGATTTTAAAATTGCCCAATAATTCTATACGAAATCATTCTGCGGTGTCTAAACCTCACATTAACGGAAAATGTATAAGGGATGTGTAAGGGTGTTAAGTGGTAAGGGTTAAATTTTATGTTTGGTCCGTACTTTTGTATAGTACAAAAGTGTGGACGCTAAAAGTATCGATCATCACAAAATTGAATCCTTGGAAATGTGGGTTCATAGACGAATGCTGAAGATACCTTGGACATAAAAAAAAACTAATGGAGAAGTTAGTACTAGTAGGAGCGTCAACAAAGATAGAGAACTGCTAAAGACTGTTAAACATCGAAAAATGTCTTATCTAGGACATATAGTAAGGGAAAGTTGATATAAAATATTACAACTAATCCTTAAAGGCAAAATAGTGGGCCGTAGAGGTGTAGAAAGAAAACAAGTTTCGTGGTTAAAAAACAGTCGTGAAGGGACTCACATATAAAATGCAGGACAATTATTGCAGAAGATCGATAAGCCTTTGCAATGGTGATCGCCAACGTCGTATAATTCTGATATAGTACGCGAAGAAAAAGAATCGAATGGTATAAAAAGAGCTTAGTGCAGCCTGTTGTAAAAATATTCTAGGCCAAAAAATCAAACAAAAAAAAGGTTATAACAAGCTGATATTTACTAAAAAATACTCTTAAATCATAATAAAACCAAACTCAGGTAATTACAAATGTTCTCATTGAAAAATTCTCACTTAGAAATCTCGTTACAATAAATATGCAGGTTTTAAGAAAATACAGCAAAGACAAATAAACATACTTTTAGTCATGTAGATATTATCTTAACAACTTCATAAATTTATTCAATAGGTTGTTTAAAAATCTGATCTGGTAATAAACATAGTACGAAAATGAATAATAATATTTTTTATAATTCTAGCTATTTTGCACACAAACATACTATAATGTAGGTTGTACACAAAATGTCATTCATGTCACAGAGTGGACATATTTCCAAAGCCAAAAATTTTGTTAGTGCCGTGTTTTATGCATGAGCCATATCCATAATATTTCAGTTGAATTGATCTTTGTTCACTGCTGCACAGAACAACTGCTGTATTCATTGTCCGGTCTAGTGCAGTGGGTTTCGGCAGTGTCAACGGCAAATCTTTGTAGCAGTTCGTATCTTTCAATTTAAAACCCAAATAATGTTTCGTTTTTTTCAGCGTCGCCAAGTAATAAAAACTATTTTATAGTTGTTCATTTATTTCGTGGCTGCGTATTTTGCTCGATATTCTTTGATTTATGCCGCCTGAAGTTCTGCGTTTTCAAATTAATATTGTACGTATTAATTCCCGTTGTGTTTTGTTATTTTAAGTTATGCGATCAATTTCTAGGGATAATTTCGTCACTATCGTTGGAGCCCCGGTGAGAAGCGGTCAGCGTTATGTTCAAATTTTACTTCAAATTTGAAATTATTCTGAAATGTTCCTCGTTGTTCGTCTTTTTTTTATGAAAATTATGTAAAATATAGTAGCAGTTTAATGGTTCAGTTACAGTTTTAAAAGTCAAGTCCAGTTTAGTTTCAAAGGCTTTTATTCACGTGGCCCAATTTCCTTTTTTTTTCATGTGTCAGAGTTTCCCGGCCATTGTTGAGTTTTAAGTCCGGTTTGCAGCTCAAGTATGATGAAGTGAAGTCCAGGTAACTGTTTAGTGTTTGTTTGATTTTCAAAGCAAAGATAAAAAATTTGAATTTTTGTTTTTTTTTATTAATTGTAAATTAGGGGTTTTAACTTTAGCTGTCATTTAAATTGTTGTTTTAAATTTAATGTTAATTTATGACAGCTCGTTTTATTATTTTTTGATTTTAGTTTGTTTTGTTTTGTGCTCACAATGTTAGTTGTATGCACACAACTAACCTCCATGCAATTTTGTAAGTTTATGTAGTATCTCCAACTCCTGGAGTTTGTAAACGGATGACACATGTAAGTTTTTTTTTGTATTTTTGGATTTTGCGACTATTGTAATATTTTTCGATTGTATATTTTGTAACTGTTTGTGGTGACAAAAAAATAAATGTTAAATTTTATTTCTTAACATTTTGTCCATAGTTGTAATAGGTATAATTAGGCACCTCAAAGTGGCGCCCTTTATTAAATTACTAGAGGTGTTTCGTGTTTATTTTTGCTTTGTTTATCCCAAGAGATTCATGACCTTTTGTTTCATATTTTTGAAATTGCCCCAATCCACCCCAGTTATCTTTTACTTCTGAGGTAGGCAAAATATTCTCGTTACATCTTATGTTGTTTATGATTTCACCTTCTGTTTTTATTCCTTTTTTCCTGCCATGTAAGCCTCAAGAAAGATATTCTCTGAATATAGGTTTAATAGCAAAAATGACAGAATACAACCCTATTTTACACCATGCCTTATTGGTATTTCATCTGTAACTCTTTCGTCTACATGGACTGCAGCTGTTTGCAAAACAATATATGTATGTAGAACAACGTGACCGGTTATTACACCAAAACTTTTAAGAACATACTTCTTAGATTACTTCTCTTGCCCTTCTTATTTTTTGGATTTGGGATTCTTGCTTTTATTTTTGCGCTAACCAAAAAGTAGTCTAATTCTATATTAGCCCCACGATAAGTACGTACATTCATTAAATACGAGAAGTTCCTGGTTTCTATAAGGATGTGATCTATTTAAATTTTTAGTGCTTCATCAGGCAAAGTTCATGGGTATTTTATGGATATTCTTGTGGGGAAAATGGGTACTTCAAACTACCATGACCCTGGAAGCTGTAAATCTTAATATTGTAGTTCCATTGTCTTTGGTGACATCCATATTCATTGATGACATGATGATCACGTAGGTTCTATAAGCGCCTATAAATAAATATTTGAATTAACATATTCCATACAAATAAAAGTATATGTCAATATCCTTGAAAATTAATTCACTTGAAATTATCTATGAAATATTAGGGTTAAGATTAGGATTATAAGCACGCGCTTGTGATAAGTATGCAGATTTTTTCTTAAAATATCGATAAGAATTTAGTATAAATTTCCAAATTTTTTTAGTACTGCAAGTTGTATGCACACAATTACAACACAATGAAATCCGCTCTTATTCTCCTTGCAGCCGGTAAGTTATATATTACATTAAAACAATATTTCTCCTTTATAATAGCTTCTATCGTACTAAGATGTAATAATTCAATAACTTTGTAGTTAAGTATTCAAAATTAATATCAAAATAATTTTTCCATTTTTATTTTTGCTAATATTTTGTGCCTTTTGGAAGCTTGTATAGGTCTTTTGCTTGGTGTGCCCTAAATAGACTAAAGACTTGTCTTGGTTGCCCATATAGTTTTGTCTTTGACGGTCCAGCACCTCGCAATCACCTAAAATATGTTTTACATATATATGTTCTAGTTTCTTTTAACAGATTCTGCAGGTATTGTCTTCATTGTAACTATCTATTTGATTTACAGATGCATGTCCAGTTCACCAATAATGATTTTTCCATGTTATTGTTTTGTGATTCTCTCTTAATATCGTTACTGGCTCTCTCTAATCCAATCTTCTACAGTGCTACAAACTGCAACCTTTGGTACTCCCATTTGATTGATTCGTTCGATCCTGTATATACAAGTTGATCTGATTTTTCGTTGCCTTCGATGCCCTCATGTCCAGGTACCCAGACAAGCTCAAAAGTGTTTTTATGCTCCTTGATACAATCTCACACCAGTGTAGACGACACTTCCTAACACGTCAGTACCTTCAGTGCCTCTTGACTGTAAGACAATATATGGATCTGCTCTCTTTCAAGAGATCACTAATTATTTCTTTTTATACACTGCATAAATTTTCGTTTAAAAAACGGTGCAGTTCCTTTCCAATGCAAAGATTTTTTAAATCTTAAATTATTGGAGTATATTCCTACCCCCACACGCTCTGTAGTTTTAAATCCATCTGTATTCCAGATCTCACCTTGTTGGTAATGGCACTCCTTGTTTCTCCATACATTTCTGTCTGGAATCGACAACCTATATGAATTCTTAAAATTGTTTTTTTTTTGTCACGTAATCTCGTTTATCATTAAAAATGCCCTTGTAACAGTTCTTGTGATACTCATATGCCCTGTCCCTTAATTACAAAGTTTTAGTTATTGTTTTATTTTATAGGCTTCTAATCTTGCTTTTCTTTATATTATCAAATCCAAAGGAGGGAGGTCTATTAGTTCCTCCATAGCTGCTGTTGGAGTATCACGCATGGTGTATACCATACCCAATACACCATGTCCGGTTTTAATCTCCATTTGTTCTCATATGTTTCATAATTCTCATAAGTCTTGTAACTGCATTGCTTGTTATTTTTTCTAATTGCCGATTAAATGTAAGGTTTGAGTCAAGTATAACCCTGAGAAACTTTACCTCTCTTTTTGGCTGAATTTCTTGTCCCTGCTGCTTAAGAGGATCTAATCTCTCTAGTTTCCGTCTGCGTGTAAAGGCTACTATTGTGGATTTGTATGGAGTTATATTTAACCCCTCTTTATAATTTCATTGACTTACTAGTTTTAGGGCCTCGTTCAAGTGACCTCTGATACCATATTGTACTTTTCTTGCGAGATGACTACCAAGTCATCCGCATACCAGCACTCTAAAATTTTTTTTTTAATTTTCTATTAGTCCACCCATCACCAGAAACCACAGCAATGAGAACAAACCTCCCCCATTCAGATATCCTGTGTCCAAAAATACCAAGGATAGTTCTAAGCATGGATTCTATCCAGTTTTAACATATGTCGTCAACTCCTTTATGCTGTCTCAGGGCATTGGTTACGTATGTTTTCGAAGTGTTGCCGATGATACGATCTTACCTGCTACTGTTGTGTTATTATATTTTTATTGACAGTATTATTTTTAGTAGCAGTTCCGACTATTATAATATCGACCTATTTAGGACATGAATAGTAAAATTTAAGGAGAATGGTGAATTAATTTTCTTTTTTACTTTAATGTGTCTTTCGCTTTTTAGCTTTGTAACACCTTTAGAATGATCAATTTAAGACTTTTATTTAAAAAGGCCATATTTTTTATTAAACGTTGACAGTCATGGTCCAAATTTATTGGTTTACTTACTAACAATATAGCTTTTGTGTGTTTTGAATTATCTTTAACATCTTTACATTTGGAATATATTGTTTTAGTCCATTCATGGATCACCTTGTAAAACTTTTTCATTTTTGTTTTTTACATTTTCCTGAAATTAACTAGAAACAACAAATTATGGTTTTCTTTGTTTTGGTATTTAGAAATGAGTATTTGGTATTTTTAAAATGAAAGTCAAAACGACAAAAACAATTATTTCTCATAACGTTGAAATTACTGAAAATATGCCAAAACCTTTTTTTATAGAGCTAGGTCCCCTTTAATATATTATATGGAACCTGTTCCGTCTCATTATAATTTACTTCTTGTTGTTTGTTGATTTTACTTTATTATTTTAGATTGATATCGGTAATTCTTAAAGTTTGGGTAAATTGGCTTCCAGAAATCTATTAAAAGATTAAAATGTTTATCAGTTTTACATATTTCTGGGGAAAATTTGTCCATTTTAAACCCTCCCTTTAGAAAATATGTACCCGGCAAATCCGTTGGCTATTGTTGTCACAGCCGCTGCGTCTGTAGATGGTTCTGATAAGGACAATATGAATAAATTTGTAATTTACGTTATTTCCAAAAGGTAAAATTATATAGTTATTAGTAACTTTCTCTTCTCTACTAGTGATTTCTGTTAGGCATTTTGTAATGTATTTTTAGGAGTAGCCTTCGAAACTCAGTTCTGTAAACATATATAGTAAGCAACAAATAGTTCTGTGAAAATTGTCGTCGTATACTATTTTAATTTATTAAAATAATATTTAATAGCAAATAAATTTCTTATGTTATTGGGCTTCAACTTTACTATCGTTTTGGTTACTTGCCTACTCGTCTTTGCGAATTTGATTTCTGAATCTAAGCCTATCGTGCATGCCCCTTTTCTGGTATATTATCAATGTACATTTTTTAAAATTGCTTGAGTACTCTAATAGATCGCACGATACTCTTTATTCTAATATGCGTTCTTCTCTAAAATGCTTACTTCTCATGTTATCCATAAGAAATATTCTTTAACATTCTTTATATTCTTATTTCAATTAAGCTAATACTGTGCTGTTACATACTAACAATTCCAGGTGACTTTAAGTGAGATTCTACTGAAACAATTCGGATTTTTTTTTTACTTTTTTACTTATAACTACTAATATACTTACTTTTCAATAAACTAGTACAATATGGAAATTTTAATTACAACAGTGTTGTTTATAGAAAACAAAACACAAAAAATAAACCAAATAAGGAAATTTTTTTTCTGGTCTGAAATATTTTCGGCAATCGAATTTTTTTTATGTATTTTTTAATCATTTTTAGTTGTGGCAGTAGCTTTGGCTGAACACAGTCCTGAAATTAAATTTGTTAAGGATGGACTCGTTGGAGATGGAACTACAACTCGTTATTGGGATTGTTGTAAACCTTCTTGCTCATGGAAAGAAAACATCAAAACACCTAGCATGGTGCCAGTTGCTTCTTGTGATAAAACAGGTGTAACCCAGCTGAAACCATCTGTAAAATCAGGTAGATATATTGTCGTAATAGATCTTTCCTTACTGGATTAGAAAATGCTTTAAATGTATATGTTTTCTAGCATAATATAGTATGTTATATTATATAATTTTCTTTTATTATATAATTTTAAAGGAAATCATATCTTTATTTTTATAGGTTGTGATGGAGGTGATTCCTTTATGTGCAACAGTCAACAACCTTGGGTTATCAACAGTACTTTGGCTTACGGTTTTGGTGCTTTTTCTTCCACTGGAGGAGTTGAATATAACTCATGCTGCGCTTGTCTGTTATTGAGCTTTACCGACCAAATTTCAAACAAGAAATTGCTTTTACAAGTAAGAATTTTTATATTTACCATTTAATATTTTCATATTTCCACTTTAAAAATCTTTTAGCTAAATCGTAGTATATTCCCATTATATAGTATACATTTATTACAAAAATGTAAGACAATGTTTTCAGAAGAATATTAAGAATTATCCATATAACAATACTCGTTATATTATAGTTAATGTCTATCATAAATTAATTTCTAGGTTACAAATACTGGTAGTGACTTGGGCAGAAATCATTTTGACATTGCTCTTCCTGGAGGTGGTGTTGGAATTTTCACTGAAGGTTGTCACGACCAATGGAATGCCCCATGGAGTGGTTGGGGAGACCAGTATGGTGGTGTTGCTAGCAAAGCTGACTGTAATACTCTTCCTAAAGAATTACAACAAGGATGTACCTTCCGATTTGACTTCTTTGAAAATGCAAACAATCCAAAAGTACATTTCGAACAAGTTGAATGTCCTGCTGAAATTGTGGCCAAATCTGGTTGCAACCTTCCAATATAATAACTTAAATAATTTGTTTTAAAATTGTATAATAAATTCTATTTTTCATAGTATAAATGTTTTTGTACAATCCTAAGGAAAAGCAACGACTGTCAGATTCAATAAGCAGTGATGAAACAATGGGAAGGGGTGAAAAACCTTATACACTGTAACTTTTGAAGATCTCAGTTAGATAATAGGAGAAAAGAAACAAAGCAAGATGTTACTATTCCATATATTAGCGGAAACGTTTTGTTTTGTACTTACAAAACAGTATCAGTCCAAATCTGCAAGAGTAATACTCTTTTAGAAGGATTAATGAAGCTCTTTTAGCTAAGAAAAGACCAATTGTTCGATTGTACTAACACAAAAACAAGAAATTAATTGCTTACTTCAACTATTAAAAAAATAAATAAAAATGATAAACAATAAAGATTTAGTAAAAGACATTAAATAAAACAAATAAAAAATACGCAGTTAATAATAATTTATGGCTTAATAATTTTACGAATGAAAGAAGTACACAAGCAGCATGCAAGACAAAATTTAAGCATAATTACGATGGCATCTTTGGCTTTTACTGATTTGTTGCAATTTTTTAAAACGTTTTGTACTGAACTTTCTGTTTTTACATATATTCGTTGTTATATTTAGTAATACTATCATTTAACAATTTAACCATTGCTTTTGTTTTATTATTAAAGGTGTCGATTGAATGTGTTTTTTTTTATTTATTTATTTTTTTTTTATTTGATTTTTTTTATTGGGTTAATGCCTCGACAACTATGATCATTGGCATGGTACAGTCAGGTACCTAGTGTAGTGTGTGTATGTGTGTAGAGTAATTGTCTTGAACGTCTGCGGTCCCTCTGGTGAGTACCGATCGCACAAGGATAGAAATTATTTTCATTTATTAATTTTTAATAAACGAAAATTTCCACCCAGATGGGATTCGAACTTACGACCTTTAGATGTAAAGGTAGGCGCTCTTACCACTGAGCCACAGAGGGGGTTAAATGTGTTTTTTAAATTAGAAACCAACATAAAATCCAATCAAAAGCAATGGTTAGATTATGATACTATTATTAAATATAAGAACATGAAGTTAAAGGTATCTAATCCTATAACACCTAGATGATATGGACTTCCTAAAATTCATACATATAATTGCCCCATGGGGTCTGTTGTAAGTTTCTGTATCACTCCAGTTTGTCTATTATCAGAGTTTATTTACAACACAATTCAGTCTTTCACTAATTTTAAACTTTAAACCTAAGTTTTCCATTACAAATTCTCTAGATCTGATAGAAGGTTTAAATAGGATCAAAATAAAAGATAGTTTTTATTTACTTTCTTTTGAGGTTTCCAATTTGTTCACTTCTGTACCAAGAGATGAAACTTTATCTTCAGTACAAAAAAATTTAAATACTTGCGCAACCTGTCAGTAAAAGTCAAGGATGCCATCTTAACTATGCTTAAATTTTGTCTTGATCAGGACGTTGGTTTTGGACTTTTGCATTACCTCTTCACTTCTTTTGTACACGTATATGTACGAATTGAGTTAAAATTATATCGTGAAAGTAATGAAAAAGCAATCTGTATTTGGTAATGTAACTACTATGGGACAGTACCATCGAGCAAAAAGACAATATAGAGAATGTAAAGGTAGTGGGGGCAAAAATATTGTTAGACAGGAAGTGCTATCTTTAGAGGCCACATTAAACAGGGAAAGAGAGTCTCATTCCTTGTTTGACATCAAATTTAGTTGGGTTATGTTATTGTTTGTCCCAAATGTCACATGAAATCTTATTTATATTGAAGTTTTTTAACAATTGTGTAGTATTTTAGACTACTACTGTTAATAATTAATTAAAACTTTCTCGTCTAAGACACATTCTGAAAAATATTATATAGCTACTGTTAATAAGTGTCAGAAAATTTAAATTTGGCGCATTCGCATTTCCGGATATGTCCGCCATCAGAGGCCACTTTTTTGGTCTCCTAAGGATAAGGATTAGATTCCCTCTTTTGTCTTTTTACTCGATGGACAGTATTCTAGACCGTTCTAGTGTGAAGTTCGGTAACTCACTCATAGATGGCAGCAGTAGTGACATCATGAAGAAACGGAGAAAAATAGTTTTATACCGTGACTTAAGTAATCGTCGTAAGTACTGTTATTATAACCTCATTTTAAGTTGTAAAGCGTATTTGGTCTTCTATTAGTAGTACTCTGTATTGTCGAAGTTTCCAAATGGCTACACACAGTGTGATTGTTTGGGTTGGAAACCTTAAAATATCCCCATTAAGTACCATTTGAGTAACAAACGCCGAGACAGGTTTATTTTTATTTTGGATAACTGCAACTATATGACGACGTCATTTATTTTTTTTTTTGCTTAAATGGTACTTACTTATTGGAGATATTTTAAGGTTCCAAACCAAACAATTACACTGTATGTATACCATAGTTCGTAGTAAATATTGATAATCATCTAAAAACGCAATCTTTTTTTTAAAGACTGAAAAAACCTTTAAACCAAGGAGAACCTTTAGCTCTGCTTAATGCAAGTGATAAATATGAGTTTGATGACTTCATCCCAGACAAAAATTACATACCTGTCTTAAGTGATTTACCCTAATAGCACACGTAGGTCCAGTGAACTTATATAGTACGTCCCTCACGGACGTCCCTCGAACGTCCGCTTTGATCCCAAGGAAGTCCTTTTAACGTCCTATATTGGTCCGAATGTCGCTGCGCCAATCGTCCTATAGACGTCCATTTTACGTCCTGAGCGGACGTTCGTTGGACGTACCGGGACGTTAATTGGACCTTAATCGAACGTGTCTAATACGTCCGGAGGACTTACTTGACGGACTTTTGTGATATTCTAGGACGTCTATTTTAACGCTGAGAATGTAAATTATACGTCAACGCCATTGTATAAAGTATTAAAAGTAGTGTCATCATGTGCATATTAAAAATGTATTTTGGGAAATAAAACGTAAATTTTTAAAGGAACTTACATTTATTATTACATATATTTATATTAATTTATTATTAACAAACGGGACAAATCTACTGTCAAAATTATACAAAAATGCAACATTATAAAAATATAAAATAATTTTGAGTAATAAAACATAAATGTTTAAAAGAACTAACATTTATTATTCTTCTTCTTACAGTGCCGTGCACCTATAGTGCGTTGGCAAATTATCTTAAGGAAAGACGTCTGTCTTTTGGGGCATGCAAAAGATCGCCAGTATTATTTATGCCTGTCCAGTTTTTTATGTTCCCTAGCCACGACATTTGTTTGCGATCTACTCCTCTCTTTCCTGCAATCTTTCCCTGGATGATTAGTTGAGGGATTTCGTATTTTTTCCTCTCAGAATATGGCCGAGGTATCCAATTTTTCGTACCTTGATCAATTTCAGTAGTTATCTCTCAGTATTTGCCTTTCTTAAGACTTCCTCGTTTCTCACCCTATCTGTTCATGGTATGCGGAACATTCTTGGCAACGTCCACATTTCGAAGGCCTTCAACTTAGAATGGAATGTACTCTTAACGTCCATGTTTTCCTGCCGTATAACAATATGGACCATACATAGGATTTAACCATCCTGTAGCAGAGATTAAAGGAAAGATTACGGTTATATAGTAGCGGTTTAAATTTGATAAAAGCTTGTCTTGCTTGTTCGGTACGGCATTTTATTTCTTGTTGAGGATCCCATTGATCATTTATCATCATTCCCAAGTATATAAATGTTTTCACTTGATCGATTGGAGCATTAACTACTTGCAGTTGTATTCTTAAAAGTGCGTTTTTTTCTTATTGCCATGCATTTAGTTTTTCCAGCATTTATCTTCAAGCCATTTATTTTTTCTACGGTGTTCATTTTATTTAACATCAACTGCATATCATGTTCGTTGTCTGTTATTATCGCGGTGTCGTCGGCGTAACAAATGTTATTTATCGGAAACCCGTTTACCTTTATTCCACACTCAGAGCCTTTCAGTGCCTTTGCAAAAATGTTCTCCACATAGAGATTGAAGAGCATAATAGACAAAATACACCCTTGTCGCACCCCTCTTAAAATCCCAAATTCTTCTGTGTTGGCTGATTTGTTCAGTCTCACTCGTGCTTTTTGATTCCAATAGAGATTCTGGATAATTCTTATATCTTTCTCGTCAATGTTAGCATTGTATAGAATTTTTATTATTGCGTCATCTTATATTGTGTTAAACGCTTTTTTGCAGTTTTGTACTAGCGTATTCAAGCATAAAGCTGCTTCGCGTGTACCCAGTCCGCTTTTGAAACTAAATTGTGTCTCACCGCTTAGATCTTCCAGCTTTCTGAACATTCTTGTGTGAAGGATGCGAAGAAATACCTTAAGCAAATGGCTTATTAAACTAATCAGCCTGTAGTCTTTACATTTTGTCTTTTTGTGATTTAGGGATCATTATAAAGGTAGAATAAAGCCAATCAGTTGGAATGTAGCCAGTGTTATGTATGGCATTGAAAATTGTTACCAGCATGTCGATGTTATCATCTTTCAACAGTTTTATGGATTTCGTAGTAATTCCATCCGGTCCAGGGGCCATGCCTAGTTTTGCTACTTTTATAGCGTACTTCAACTCGGCGCGAATAATAGGAGGGCCGTATAAATTTTCCGTGGGTAAGTTAGTAGTTGGCAGATTCGCTTTATTATCCGCAAAGAGGGACGAAGCATAGTCTGCCCAGATTCGTTCTTCCTGGGTATAAACGTAGTTTCCTTGATCATTCGTCAGGCGAGTCTCATGTTGTTTCTTGTATATACTCGAAATTTCTTTGACCTTTTTTGTAGTCCAAAGCTGTCTCCCTTTTCTTGTAGTGATTCCAATTCTTCATAACGTTCTTTTATCCAGCTTTCCTTTACGTTTTTAATTCTTGCCCTTGCTCTTATATGTTTCTCAAATTCTCGTTGATGTGCTTATTGTATGTAGATCTAAGCTCTTCATCGCTCATTAATTTTTTAGTGTTTATGTATTTTTGATTAGATGGCTTTTTAACCTATGCCAATCCAAGGCTTACAT